GATGAGAAACATTTTTCTCTGCATGATGCCAGAGGCAAAAGCCATGAGGCCAAAATTGTTTGTTCATCAGGGGGTATAAAAACTTCAGTATGCCAGAAGAAAAACCCCAAAACAAAATCAAAAGTCAGTTGATGAACTGAGAAAAAAATGCCTGCAACATGTATGACAAATACCCTGTTACATAAACAACTCTAATAATCAATATGAAGAGCTTGTATTAGTAATGAACTTCCCAATAGGAAAGTGGGGGAAGGATGTGAATTAGTTCACACAAGTAGAAGTAAATGGCAGTGAAGGTGAGAAAGTCAATCTTACAGTAATTAAATAGGTGCGTCTTAAAATAAGATACTACTTTTGTTGTCAAATTAGCAAATTTTTTGTGTGTATTGTCTTCATTTGTTTTTGGGAATGATGGTACTCAGTGCAAATGGAGGTGTGTGGCAAGGAGTCTCATATGCCTTTGGGAGTGGGAGATCCAAGCTTTCTGCCAAGCAGTTTGGCAGTTATGTCCCGAAACCCTAAAAAGAATTCATCCCTTTATCCTGGTGATTCCACTTCTAGGAATTTTTCCCAAGGAAATAATTAAATCTGCAGTCAAAATATTTCTATGCAAGGATGTTCATCACATTATCTAGAAAGATGAAACTTTGGATACAATTTAAACATCCAATAATGGGGAATGAGTCATTCGTATGCCGGAGTTGTGGTCAAGCCCTTAGGAACACTGAAGGATGCTTAGTCACAAGGGAACTTCACGATCTAAGGCTAAATGAAAAAGGCAGGAAGGATGGTGGGCCGGAGCTGGAGGGAGAGGGGAAGCCGTGGGAAAGAGCCGGGGGCCAAAGCAAATATGTGTTGGCGGGATAGACAGTCTTCATTTTTTCGGTCTCCCTTTGGCGAATTTTGATTGAGCAGGTGGTGGGTGCAAGGCACTGTCATTTAGGCTCAATTTAGAGAAAGAGTTTGGGTGCCATGAGCCAAAGGGAGGGTGCTGACACTGGACAGGCTCTCCCTCAGGGTAATGGCCCGCTGCTCTGCCCTGCCACATTCCAGGATCACCAGCCCCTCACAGGGACTCAGCCCCTACCCTGGCCGCTCACCCATTCTCCAGGGAGCCGCTCTCCTCTCCTCCCATTCTCAATGTGCGTGAGGGATTGGAGTTCAAAACCAAGCAAAAAACTCAGGATGTTCAACTCTAAAATAAAAAAGGGAAAAATTCAGAATATAAAGCTTACTAAAAGGGGGGTTGCATGATACATAAAAATAAATTTATATATTATGTATGTGTGTATAGGGAAAAGGTTGGAAGGAAACTTATCAAAATGTTTCTGGTCAGCTCTGATAGAATTATGGGAGATTTAATATTTTTATGTATTTTATAATCAGCATGGATTAATTTTTTTTTAAAAAAACAGCTGTATTGAGATATAATTGGCGCATAATCTGCACATATTTGAAGTGCACAATTGGCTAAGTTTTGACATGTGTAACACCCGTGAAACCAACACCACAATCAAGATAGTGAACATATCCATCACCCCTGAAAGTTCCTCGTGTTCCTTGTAATCTCTTCTCCCGGTCCCTCCCCTCCTCATGTCCCTTACAAGGCAACTGCTGATCTACTCTCGGTCACTATTATTCAATTTACATTTCCTAGAATTTTATATAAATGGAGTCATACTCGCTTCGATAGTGTGTACTCACCTTGTCTGGCTTCTTTCAGCCTATAATTGTTTTGTGATTCATCCATGTATTTGCATGTCTCAATGGTTTATTCCTTTTTATTGCTGAGTAGTATTCCATTGTGTGGATATAGCAGTTTTTTACAATCCAATGAACTTCTTTTATAATTAGGAAAATCTTCCATTTTTCTCAGTGTACTCTGAGATTGGATAGTGTCATGGGAGTTTGGGTTCCTGGTGTCCATCCCTCTCGGGAAGTTTGGGGCAGTTTTCCAGGCCCGACATGGTGACGTTGAGGTTAGCAATCGGGTAAGCCCGGAGGGGCCACATGCTATCATTTGCCAAACAAAAGCCTTAGCCAAGCCTTTGAACACTTGTACTGTATGTTGTCAGAGTTTTGATTTTGGTTCTAAGGAGACTAAGTGCAGCTTAACAGACAATTTGCAGACTTGCCCTTGAGCTTCACCTCAGTCTGAGAGCTGGAGAAAGCTTTGTTGAAAGAGCTGGACCTCTTGTCACAAATTGGCATTGAGTGTGTAACTTCCCTGTGCTGCTGCCCCTCGGTCACTGGTCTGTCCGCTCAGCACCATGCCTGGTTGACCCCCCCACCCCAGCTGCCCCCTGTGACAGCGGTCCTCCTCACCTGCCCAGTGCAGCCCCCGCTCCTGTCCCCTGCAGCTCTTGTCCTTCACTTGGACGAGGCTGACGGCCTTCCTCCCTCTGCTCTCGGGTGATTTTCACGAGGTCTCCCCAGTCTCCTGGATTAGCACAAACCTTGGCAGCTTCTCCAGAACTCCAGAGGCCCCCAGGTCTCTGGACAGTCCTTTTCTCCCCAGTCCCCAGCCATCCCTTGTCCCTGTGGTCACAGCAACAGGCATCGGCAGGCTCCTGCCCCGTTCATGGCCCTACTCATCTCGAGGGGTCCCAGGAGTTGCTTCCTGTGTGCTCAGGAGCAAGTGCACCATGATACTCTGCCGTGGCCTCCTCCCGGGCTCTCCTGGGCCCAAAGGAAGGACTTAGCCACCTCTGGTTCCATACACAAAGGGGGCAGCAAGGGGGAGTCTCTCTCCTGAACTCTGTACCCCCTTGTTCCCGGGCCTGAGTCTCCTAAGGTCTGTCACATGATGTCCTTTTCTCTCTTACCACTCCAAGTAGGGGTCAGACCAGTCCCTGGGCCAGGCCTGGAAATGGACACTCCCATCCTCACTGACCTCCCTCCTCCCGTTATTTTTACCCTGAGCCACCCCTATGCCAGCCCCTTCACCTAAACCACCCATACTGGCAGAGACCTGTGACTGAACAGGGAGCTGATGCCCTGGGGTGCCTGGGTCTCCTGCTCTGGACCACAGCCCTTTGCCCACTGGGTGCCTGCTGACAGCCAGACACTGCCCGGAGCGGCTGGAGACCAGGTCCGGGAGCAGCCTCCGGCTGAGATTCATCCTTCCCTTCCTTCTCTCTCAGGGTCTTAGATTCTAGGAATGAGACTGTCAAAAATAGAACCAAGAGGAAGGGCAGCTGGCTGGCAGGGCCTCCCCCTGGAGGGGTCCTGACTGATGGGCACATGTACCCAGGGCCCCCCTGGCCTCCTCTGCGGGCCCTCCTGTTTCACTGGAGACAATAACGGACCTGTTGGTGGCAAGGGCCCAGGTGGCCGTCTGGTGAACAGGCGGCTGGCCTGGAGACAGGGGAGGACAGAGATGACGAGGAGGACGGGGCGGGCGCCTTTCTCCCCAGCGGGGACTCCTACTTTTTAAAAGTCTCCTTCGAAGAGGATGGAAACAAACATCAGGTCCGCCTGGACCGCGTCCAGCGGTGTAATCAGAGCCACCGTGGGCAGTGGCGCAGGAGCCGCGTCCGTAGTCCGTAACCGGGAGCGCGGCTGCAGCGAGCGCGGAGGCGCGGCTTCCTGGGCAGCTCCGCGGGCTCAGCCACCACCGCGCAGCGGTGTCCCCGGCGGGCGCGCAGCCCTGCGCCACGTGGTGGGGCCGCCCGCCTGCTCGCGCGCGCGCGGGAGGAGACAGGGGAGCCTGGAGAAGCGGCCTGGGGGTGGGGGTGGAGCCCTCTGGGAGCGAGCTTCGGCGGGGTGGTGGCTGTCCTTAGCGTCAGGGGTGGGCAGGACCCTGCTGGATCTCAGTGGGCCCTGTGTCAGAAGATGCCCTGCTGTGCCTTGTATGCTTGTTTGTACCTGGTGGCGTTCACGCGCATGGGGGTGTGATGTCCTGCACAGAGAGGGGAGCGTTCCTGCTGGAAACCTGGCTCTGAAGCTTCCAGCCCCCGGGGGAGGCTCAGGGGCGCCCTAGTAGATTTCCGTGTTGTTTGAACCGGCTGGATCGCTGTGTGGGGCTGGAGGAGGGGACTGACTTGTGAGGTGGAAGGTTCGCTGGAGGAGTTCAGGACCACAGCTACCTGGCTGTTCGGCTCATGTCTCCTCCCCTTGGTGTGTCTCCCATCTTTCATTCCTGCCTCTTAACCACGGGTGGGGCACGTGGGCAAGCCCCACACTGGTCAGTGGGTCACAGGGAACCAGAGATGGTAAGAGTCTGCAATACAGAGACAGCTTCTAAGCTGTTAACAGGGCACATGTTATCCCCATTCTTGTTGAGAAGGAGGTTAAGTAACTTTCCCCAGGTCTCGCTGCCAGCCACAGGCCCGGTGCCTTGCTGAGGGCTTCCACATAGCTTAGTTTGTGTAATCCCCAAGCAGCCCTGCAAGGTAGGTTTCGTTCTGATTGTTTCTTCTGATTAACGTGAGGCTCAGAGCATGTAACTTGCCCAGCCACATGCTTTGGTTGGGGTCTTTCTGCACCTGAAGATCCCACTTAGTATGACTCCATGGACGCCCAGACCTGCCCTGTGATGGGAGGTATGGTCCTTACTAAGGGACTTGGCGTCGGGCCTCCACAGTCTGACCTGTGTTTCTTGAGTCCAACCACTTCTGATACCTGCCCCTCCCCTCACTGCCCGCAGGTCCAGCCTTGCTGCTTCCTGTTCTCCAAACATCCCCAAAGGCCGCAGGTCCCACACCTGTGTCCGCATTCCCCCGGCTGCCCACTTGGTCCACCCCACACACTGCCCACAGCTCACTCTTTCCCCTCCCTCACCTCCCAGGCAGCAGTAACCTCCCTGGTCGCTTCCCCTCTAGCTCTCTGTGTGTCCCTCTGCCACAAGTGGACTTCAGGAACCTCTGTCTGCCTCCCCGACACACTGAGACTCTTGGGAGTGGAGACTGTCTTCGTTCCGGGGGACACGCAGAAGAACCCTGAAAGGTGTTCGGTAAATGATTGCTGCGTTAGGTTGAACTGAGCTTTTAGGCACAAATACCCTCCCTTCTCTTCTGATTTAATGTTTTTTGTGTTTGAGAACTTTGGCAATATGGTGAGAATCGTCCACATGCCAAAGTGGATCTTGGTGGGACAGAGTAATACAGGTTTAATTTTTAACTCCCGAGTGTGACTCCATGATTGTGTACTCTGAGTATATGACTGGACGACTCAAAAAATTCATGGAGGTGAAAATTTGGACTCATCTCCTACCAGTGTGATTTGGTTAAGGTGGTTAGTGGCCTCAGGTCCCCCCACCCCCAGGTTCCACTGCCAGGCCGGAGGACCCCCGGCCCTGGATGGACGTGGTGCCGGTGGGCGCCTTGCAGCCTCTCTCCTGGCCCCTGCTTCTGGGCGCCTCAGAAATGAGTCAGAACATGTGCAGCGTGGGCTTGTGCGGGTGGCAGGGAGCCCAGAATTAGCTCGGCTGTGTTTCAGCAGGGTTGCAGCGGGAAGGGGGCGGCTGCGCCAGGCGGGGGGCTGAGAGGCAGACAGCCCTGAGCTGTGGAAGGAGTCAGCTCTCAGGAGCTAGCACAGGCCTCAGGGCATGGGGGGCAGCCTGCTTTGTGTCTGGCACACACCCGATTGTAGATGAGCAGGGGGTCAAAGGAGCAGGCCTTGTGCAGCCACAGCTGCTGGGACCCCAGCGTGCCTGAGACAAATGTGGGAGCTGGACAGGCATGGCCAGGTCACCCCAGGTAGTAGGTGGCGGACAGGTGTGGCATCACCGTGCTTGCTGTTCACCTCTGGCAGCTCTGTGCCTTCACCTGGCCGCAGCACACCCAGGCAGGCAGAACCAAAGCTAAGCTGCTCCGCAAGCAGGCAGCGCAGCCTCCTCCTGCGCCTGGCGTTCTTTTACTCTTTGCAAACTGCTTTTATTCAAAGGGAGGGAGTGGTTAGCATGGGTATTTTAGTAAATTGTGAAATGCTTTGTTCTCGCTTGCCCCCTTTCCTGCTCTCCCCAATCTCTGGCACAGGTGTGTTTCCCTGGACGCCAGTGCTTGTCACCAGAGAAAACAAGGCAGCAACACTTATCACTTCCACTGCTCACTGGGGCAAAACACGAGGGCAGGCTTCGTGCCTCCCAGGGGTGGGGAGGGGCCTGGTACTTGTGTCACCACCAAGTGAGTCATCGAGGTGGAACAGTAAAATATTTAATCACGTGTGTCAGCATTGTTCGAGAGGCAGCATTTTTAAAGGTCCCCGTATGCAGCATGGGCACATGGTGTTACCTCTGAGGTTCACCTGTCACCATGTGAAACGCACACAGAGTGGTTGGCCTGCTTGGGGGCTCCGTGGGTTTAACCATGTGAATAGAACAGTTTGGGGAAGAAAACAAAGCATCGAAGGTTTTCAGGATGGCCCGGCTTTGGCTCAGCAGGTAATTTCTGCCGTAGAGCCCCTGCCTGGCCTTGGTCACCAGCGTTTGTGTTCAGAGGCCACGGTGGCCTGGCTGCAGACTGTAGCTGAGCGTGCCACCGGCGCCTGGCCGGCTCTTGTTCCGGCAGGTGCCTTCCCTTCCCGCCCTGGCCCGACGCCCCAGGTTAGATCTGGCCATCCTCGTCCGTGTTGGACGCAGGAGGGTCTCAGCAGACGTGTGTTGGGTCACAGCTGGACCGAGCACACCATGAGGGGAAATTCTCACACTGAGAGTCTGAGAGCAGGGACCATGCTTCTGTCAGCTTTGTCACTTTAGTGCCTGACCTAGTGTTCTATACATGGAGGTCCAGGACCCTCAGCAAGTGCTTGCAGGCTTACATGCCTTCCACGTCCTTCTGCTGGCACCTGGGGCCAGGCCCCGGGGGCATTTGTGCAAAGCGTCCCACAAGTCTGGAGATACCTTCCCATCGTTACAGCCATCTGTTTTTTCAAGGCACAGCATGCCCCCAGCAGCCTTGTTTGGACCCCACATTATCTGTGAGGCAGGCGGGGCTAGAATTAGGGTGCCTTTTTGAAGGACGAGGTTCCTGGAGCCCAGAGAGCGGAAAGGACATGCCTGCGTTGCACAAGGAATCGCTGACACGGTGGGTCTCCTGCTTCTCATTTCAGCACCTTGCCCAGGTGCCTGCTGCTCACCTGTGGCCTGGCATTGTCCTACTAGGACATCCCGCCAGGCCCCACTGGGAACCCTGGGTGTAGTGACTTCATCGGGGAGCCTCAAACTGGGGAATCTTGGAGCAAGAATAGATCCAGAAATTGGACAACTTCTGTATTTTCCAAATTTGAACACTGAAGCCAAGAAGAGTGAAGTAATTTGCAGTAGGTTGAATGTTGGAAAGCATTATTTTGGGAAGCATTAGAAAAACTCCCAGTCATGGTTTATAATGCTTGCCCAGCACCGTTGGTGTGATATTTGTATCAAGTAGCTGCTCTTAGCCTTGAGACGCCTCAGGCCTGGGAGGTTAGGTATATTCTGTGTATATTCCGCTTCCTAACAGCCACGTGGGTTTGAGGACAACTTCTTAACCTGTTTTTGAAAAATGAAAGCTTTCTTAGATTTTTTTGGTTCTCTGTGCCCAGCGAGTTCATTGGAACCTGAGTGCTGGTCTGCCCTTTCACCTCATTGCATCCTCTTGTCAAACCCTGAGCGTAGGTACGGTTATTAGCTCTACTTTGCAAAAACGGAAACACTCCCAGTGGGCACAGACCCTTCCTGGGGTTGCTCAAGTAAACAGCCCCAGGCCTGACAGACTCTGAGGCCCACTCTCTGGCAGCCAGTGGGTGTGGGAGGAAGGGCCACCTTAACTCTGACACACTCGGCTCCCAGGCTGCTCCTTGTTTGGGGGCACCGGTTGTCATTGTGAGCCAGAGCTGACTCTGGTTCTGGGCTGTTCTCAGAGCAGTGGTTTGGGAAACACAGAACTTCTCAGAATACTGTTTCAGAGAAGATGCTGCTGTCTGCTGTTCTCAGAAGGCGTGCAGGGTGTCCTGCCTGAGGGTCGGTCCCGGCCCACAGTCCGCTTGGTGCGAGGTCTGGGAAATCTGCTTCCTGCAGGTGGGAGCAGCAGGAGGAGGCGATGGAGCCAGGGTGGGAGGTGGTGCCAGCGTCTGGGCGGGGGAGGGGAGAGAAGTCCCCAAGTGGGATGTCGGGGAGAAAGGCCACAATGAGGAAGATGCTGTTACTGACAGCTCATGATGTTTTATTAAGCCAGAGGGGTTGAGACTCCGCACAAAACGCAGCAGTTTCCTCTGTCCGGGTTAAATTACCCCCTTTTGAGAGCTGCCAGAGCCCTGATACCCATTCCTTTTGTCGTTGGCTTCGAAGCCTCAGCCATATCGCTGGCCCTCTGCCACACCCACTGATGAGCTTTGAACCTGGGGACAGGCTCGGGGGGGTTTACGGGTGGCTCAGAAACAGGATTCTTCTGGCCGAAAGGGGAACCAGGGAAACACAGCAGCTGGCCAGGTGGCTTGGGGTGTGCCACCAGATAGAGTGTTCAGCGCCAGGCCGCTGTTCCCCTGGGAGGCCGGGTCAGCCTCGGCGTCAGATTTCAATGGGCCTTGGCAGGTCAGCAGCAGGAATGTGCGGGAGGGAGGAAATTCCAGTTTGCGCAGCCAGTGTTTGCTCGTGTCCTACAGCCTCAGAGCTCGATTAGTTTGCTCTTGCAGACATCATGAACGGTGGTTTGATGACGGTTGTTTGGGTCCATATTACATGGAAACGTTCTGAATGTCCTCTGCGAGCCTTTATCTAATTATCATGACTGCTTTCTCAGACATTCAATAGGGATTTTTCCATACCTGCCCACCTCTTCTTAGAAGTTATAGCAATTATGTTTCACAGCTGCTGCATGTAAATCAGAAGAAAATTGAACCAAATAACGAGGATAATTTTATGAACAAATAAGTACTCCTTGGGAAGCACAGGCAATCTAATGCAAATATCATAAGAGAAATTAAAGAATTTGCTACAGCTACCTAGGGCTCTGGAAAATATGAACTTCATAGCATGCCCAGAAACCTTATACAGAAATTGCCCGACAGCTCTCGGCCAGTCTCTTCTGAATCTTCACCAGAGAGTTGTCACAAGAGTCTCTGAGGGCGCAGAGTTTCTGAAATGCTGATTCACTGGGTGAGGCTTCAGATCAGGACCCACGTGTACAGCCTCTACTCTTCACGTCTGCATTAAGCTTTTAAACAGCGGGTTGGGAAGACAAATTTCAGGCAGTGGGGTTTTTCTGTGTAGACCTCTGAACCTTTAGGGTACTTCTCGCTGGTTCTACGAATGAATATAGGGACTCAGGCCAGGCTGAGAGAAAATAGGTGAGGTGTAAATGAAAATGATTTCTGTGCACACGGACCTTTAGTGGAAATTCTGAGGCTCAGTCCACTTCTCGAGTGCAGACCGTGGCCTGTCATGGATTCTGAACGTTGTTGCTCTGCTGATGGAGGCGGTGCCAGAGGGGGAAGGTCGCTGGATCTGTAAGCCACCTTAGAAACCCGAGCCTTGGCCTGTCGTCCAGGGCAATTGGCAGTTTGTACAAAGGAAGGGAGGGAACGGCTCTTTGAGGTATTTATCTGCCTGATAGACATTCACAGCGATAGGGTGAATTTGAGTGTGAGTTTGGGTTTTTATTTGGGCTGATAAAATCTTTCTGTTCACCGACAAGCTGTTGGGTTGATAAGCCATTCACAGGCTGTGGGTGGGAGTCATCTAGCTGGGTGGTCCGGAAGGACTGCTGGCCTCTCCCCCACCCACACCCCTATTTTTTCAGTGCCAGGGGCAGGCATTTGCTAGGAAAATAACTTTTGTTGGAGGGTTGACTTGGTTCTGCATATGCAGGAGAGACAGTGTGTGATCCATCCCTGCCCCACAGCTGAGGATCTGGAATTGTCTAGCAGAGACTCAATACTTTAGGGTGACCTCAGACTCTCCCGGCCACGCATTTGGGTTCCTCTGCCCTCGTGGCTGGTTTCCCAGTTATAATGGCCAGTCAGTCCACTGATTATAGCCTTGAACTGGGAAAGGAGCTTAGGGAACTGCCGGCTCTTGCTACCGCTGTGACTGAGCTTGGCCAGAAAAAGTGTAGGAGGAGGTCCTCTTACTTCAGCCTTCATAACTACATGTTTCTGCCTGCTGTCAGAGATGAGAACTCGCCTGATGTTCCCATGGTTTTATCTGATTGTACCCATTTTACTCTTGATGTCTTGCCAGATTTGCACAGGTGTTTAACAGGTGTCAAAGTATTGGCATTTTCTGTTACAAGAAAAACTCCATCATCAATCTTTTTTATGTGGTCTTAGGGTAGGTGGTTCATTCTGTTGTCTCTTCCACACAGCAGCCAGAGTTACCTTTTAGAATGTAATCAGAATTCCAGTGCCAGCCATGATGGAGTAATAAATATTGGATTTACTCTTTTTTCCTAAAGAATTATGATATTGGACAAAAAAAATGAAGCAACTATTTTCAAGAATGGAGCAATACTCAGTGCAGGTCTTTGATCCAAATGGAACCAGGTGAGGCAAGCTTCACAGTCTTCCTGGCTTTCTGTCAGGGAGTGCCTTCAAAACCAAGGCACAGGGAAGTAGACACCACAGAGAGATAAGCAGAGGAAACAGAGATCAGAATTTGTGGGTGCTGAAGCAGCTAGAATTTGTGGGGCAGGGTATTGGAGAAGAGGGTTCTGAGCAGAGAAGAGACTTAAGAAATCTTCAAAGTGGTCCCCTAGCGTCTTGCCTAAATACTAAGCTATGTTTACCCAGGACAAGACTCATTGAGGCTCAGCAGAGAACAACTACTGGGGAGAGGGTACTGAGCTGAACAGAGACTTTGGAGGTCACACAATGCTGGGAGATTTGGAGTTCTAACCTGCCAGGATGAGGAGACTTTGCTGGACTCCTTGAACATGAGACCACAGAAAGTCCACACCTTAGGAGTTGGGTCACCCTAGCCTAGAGAAGTGACCACACTAAACCCACTATAACAAAACCTAAAAACAAGCCTCGTTAGGATCAAGATGATACACCAACTAACAGTCTGCCAGAATAAAACTCAACACTCTTTAAACAAAGTATTATTTGTAATATCCAGTGTGCAATAAAAAATCACGAGAGGGGCCGGCCTGGTGGCGCAGTGATTAAGTTCACATGTTCCGCTTCTCAGAGGCCCGGGGTTTGCCGGTTCCGATCTCAGGTGTGGACGTGGCACTGCTTGGCCAAAGCTGTGCTGTGGTAGGCATTCCATATATAAAGTAGAGGAAGATGGGCATGGATGTTAGCTCAGGGCCAGTCTTCCTCAGCAAAAAGAGGAGGATTGGCAGCAGTTAGCTCAGGGCTAATCTTTCTCAAAAAAAAAAAAAAAAATCACAGGAAATGCAGAACAATGTGACCAGTAATAAAGAGAAAGAGGTCAATAGATACAAACCCATACAAACATAATGAATGAACAGTTATCCAAATGAATATAGGGACTAGGAGTTTCAGCAGAAAGATGGAAATTTCAGAAACAACCAAATAAATTCTAGAACTAAAAAAATACTGTTACTGTCATGCATTGCTTAACAATGGGATACATTCTGAGAAATGCATTGTTAGCCAATTCCGTTATTGCGCAAATATCATAGAGTGTGCTTACACAAACCTGGATGGTATAGCCTACTCCGCACCTAGGCTGTATGGTACTAATCTTATGGGACCACTGTTGTGCTTGTCGTCAACCGTTTGACCAAAACATTGTTATGTGGCTCATGACTGTATCTGAAATGAAAAATTCACTGGATGGATCTAATATCAGTTTGGGCACTGTAGGAGAAAATATCAGTGAACTTGAAGACAGATCAATAGAAACCGTTCAAACTAATGTACAGAGTGAAAAAACATTGGAAAAAAAAAGGAACAGATACGGAGGGGGAAGTGGTGTACCCACAACATGACTAACAAAAATGTACAACTGAAATCTCACAAGGTTGTAATCTATCATAACATTAATAAAAAAAAAAAAAAAAAAAAAAAAAAAAAGGAACAGAGCCTCAGTGACAGGAGGAATAATATCAAGTCTAAAATATGTGTAGTTGGAATTATAGAA